TGCGGCGCCCCCGGTGCGCCCGCCGTGCCCGCGGCCTGCCGCGCGCGCTTGCGCCGGCGGCACACGCAGCAGCGCCAGATGACGACCCCGATGAGGAGCAGCACGAACACCAGGCAGCCGACGAAGATCTCGGGCCACCGGCTCAGCACGTACTCTTCGTACCTGCGCGCGCGGGGTCAGCGCGGGCAAGGGGGGCGCAGAGGGGAGACGGAGGGAGGGGAGGGGGGGGAACTCACTGCGCCTTCTTCTCCGCCTCGGTCTCGGGTGAGTGCTGCTCCTCCGAGACCGGGAGCAGCGCCTGCGACGCGGCGCCCGTCGTGTCGACGCCGTTGAGCCGGACGCTGACGAACGCAGCGTGCGCGGCGGCGACGTTGGTCGTGGAGAGCAGCTGGATGAACGGGCTGCCGAGGTCCGTCGACGTGTCCTCGACAAAGTCGCCGTAGTCGAAGAGCGCGTAGACGTTGCGCACTGCGTGGCGGTCAGCCTCGGGCGGCGGCGCGGGGAGAGAGCGGAACGCGCGACTCACTGAACGACATGCCGAGGATGATGTCGTATTCGCCGAGCAGGCTGAACGCGGAGCTGATGGGCTGGAACTGCGGGAGAGCGCGGGAGGCGTGAGCGGGCAGGCTGCTGTGCGGATACGATGCGGGACTCACGGCACCCACGCAGACCGGGTCGCCTGCGCTGTTGACGACGTCGAACTCGCTGCTCGACGTGTCGAGCGGGCTGATCGGGTAGTCGACGCCGCCAAACTTGAAGCTGATGTTGAGCATCTGCGCGCACGGGATCGTCCAGAAGCCCTGCTCCGAGTTGTACTCTGCGCCCTGCACGCGGCCGTAAATCGCGTCCGACATCGCGCGCGGGACCTGCGGGAGGGTGTAGCCCGAGTCGAAGACGACGACGAGCTGGCCGTCGGGCGCGGAGGGCACGATGGACTCGACCTCGATCGGGTTCCCGTCCGGGCCAATGACGCCGTTCACGTCCGTGTACGTCTGCCAGTGCTGGTCGAGGTCCGTGAGCTTGTGGACCATCTCGACGGAGAGCTTCGGCATCGACGTAATGTTCTCGTACCCGGGCACGATCTCCGAGATGGACATCTGGCCCGTCGACGGGCTCGTGGGGTCGTCCAGCCGGTTGAGCAGGATCGTCATGTAGTTTGCGGAGGACGCGTTTTGCTGGAAGATGCGGTCGAGGACGCTGTCCCCCTTCGAGTCCCCGAGCTTGTCGCGGATGACGGAGCCCGTGTTGGGTCCGAGGCCGATGAGGCCATCAAAGCCCTCTGTCTCGATGTTGATGGAGAACGAAGACGTATTCTTGACCAGCACTAGGACCAAGTGGTATGAGGATGAGCGAGGGGGTATGTACCGAGAGGATACGCACGGAAAGCTTGGTTTTCCACAGTATAGTTACCGAACTGTAAGGTGGCGGTGTTGATGTCACCTAAAGTGTACGCGAACAGGGTTTAGCACCCACTTAGACGACGAACAAACAAACGAGTTGAGGACACAGAGTGACGGACGCGTTCCAAGATCTGGCAACGCACTTGTGCCTATAGCATGACCAAAGAAGTTACATACCTGCGGCATCTCCTACGGCATAGGACAATGACTCGGAGACACCGAGGTCAGTGCTGTCTGGAACATCTCCAGCTACCCACAAATCGGAACTACAGCGCGCTCAGCGTCAATAGGACGCGCCGAGAGAGAGTAGGCGCGTACCTTCCCGTGTCGAGCAGGACGGGTATCTCTCTGCCTCCGAGGGTGATGTTGGTAATATACTCAGAGTTTTGGGTATTCTTGACATTGAGGAGGGTATCGTTGTTTGCGCGGCGGGTCAGGCGACTCGATGAGGTTGAAGCGGAGCGGGCATGGATGGGGAACCTAAGGGCATTTGCAGAATGTAGGAAACAAAGGAGACAGAGAGGAAGTAAATGGCGCATTCAGACAAACAAGGAGCGAGGGGAGGAAAGAACGTGGGTCTGGCGTAGAATCGCCAGATGGTGGAGGATGCGGAGACAGAGCGACTGGGTAATTTAATTTTGGACGTGCGCCGACAACACGGCAGGACGGTCTCCGGGGCAACCACACTCCACCCACTTATCTCTTCCGCCATCCGCATTTTCTGCAGATGGGCCGTGGTTGGCTGAACAACCTGGTTCAACCACAGAGTCATGACGGTCTGTTGTTGTTGATTGCGCAGTCTACGGACTTTGTCTGTTTATCGCCGGCATGCTCGAGCCGAAGCAGTGCCCGAGCAGATTGAATATCAGCGCCAGCGCGCCCTGGACTTGCCCTGTACTGGCCATAAATATTTATTTGAAAGATTGAGACTCGAACGAGCTGTTCGATGACCTTGACTAAGATGTGGCCGACGTGGATACCGTTTCGCCTCAGGCGGCACTGCCCATTCGCGGCAACTGCCCCAGACCCCGCCCTGCCTCCTCTCTCCCTTACGACCTTCACGTTTCCTCTTCTCTCCTTCGCCATCGGCTTCGACCATGAGGTCGTTCTCTCTTCCCCTGCTCCTCTCTTTTATCGCGCTCCCCACAGAGCTTATCGGCGCCGTCCGTTTCGATCTTCACGGTCGTGCGGCACCTCGCCTACTAGACAAGAGGACTGCCATAACCGGCGCATCTGCCTTGACTGACACGAACAATCTCTTATACTATCTCAACCTTACTCTCGGCGGCTCACAGTTTCAAGTCGCGATCGACACTGGAAGGTAGGCGTGGATTTTTCTCGGGGTCTGCACCATATTTAGACACGCTCGTGATCACAGTGCCGACTTGTGGGTCGCTGGGAATGTCACAAACAGCCAGGACACAGGCAAGACGCGCACCGTTCAATATGTGGGTGAGGAGGCAACAGGTGAAGCCGGTCCCCGCAGTCTGAGTTGTGGGACCGGATCGTACTCACAATCCTGCCAGGTACCATTAAACTTGCCACATTGGATTTTCTAGGCTACACCGTGGAGAATCAAGCTTTCTGTGAGCCGGAATTATTCATTTGTGACGCCATTGGTTTCACACTTTTTTTTTTTTTTTTTTTTCA